ATAAATAAATATTAAAAATTACAACTCTACTATAAAAAAAAAAAAAAAGAAAGGAACCTGCTACTTGGTGACAGGGTCTTTACTTGTAAAAAGAATAAAGTTGTATAGGTACTCCCACAATTTGACATAGTACAGATTAACCTTTTTAATTATTAACAGTCCACCCCTTTATATACTGTGTGTGTGTTTGTGTGTGTTTTAATTAGTTATTACAAAGATTGTTCCCAATTTGGTCCTTGCTACTTTTCTCCTTTTCAAATATTTTTACTAGAAACATTTTTGTAGATTTCTATTTCTTTTGAGACTTTGCTCTATGTTTACATTTTGAGTTGTGGGCTTGAAATGTGTATTTTCTTTCTCTAGAATCTTTATGTAGCTTAGACACTGTGCTATTGCTACTTTAATTTGATTAGGTAAAATAAGATATTACATCGCTTTAAAAGAATCAGCTGGGTTTTTTAAAAATGTTAAACAACTTTTTCTGCTGCTCTGATGTGTTGTTACCCTCCTGCGTGCCTTTCTTTGAGACTGTTGCCGGCAAGAAAACTCTCTTCTGGCCACAGTTTATCACTTCAGACAGTTAACTGCTAAACAAACATTTTTAAGTAGCCAGTGTGATGAGGAAAAAAACCTCCCAGGGAGAAGTTGAAGAAAGTCAACGAATTGTTAAATGTGGCACCTGGAGAAAGCCAATTGCAAACTAAAAAGCTGTCCTGGGCATTTCCTGATACTGGTGGAAAGCAAGGAGATTGAGTCACCACGGGTTCAGGACAAGCCACTAAGGCTCCTGTATTTATTTTTTTAAGAGTGTCTTAATCTACAGCCTAGGTTAGTCTAGGATGATCGCAAACCTTTTGTGTCAGCCTCACAAGTGAGGGGATGGCAGGTGTGAGCCACCATACTCAGCTTCAGTACTTTACTTACTGTACTTGCCTTGGTGTCTGTGAGAGACTGAGAGGTTTGGCTTAGTTTAAGAAGTCTGTTTTGGTCTGTGTTTGGTGATTGTGGATCCTCTTAGCCCTTAGAGAAGAGGTTCTCAACCTGTGGGTCATGACCCCCATGAGATCACTTACCAACTACCTTGAATGTCAGATATTTACGTTACGATTCATAACAGTAGCAGCATTACAGTCATGAAGTGGCAGCAAAGTAATTTTATTGTTGGGGTCACCGCAACATGAGGAAGTGTATTAAAGGGTCACAGCATTAGGAAAGTTGAGAACCACTGCCTTAGAGTAGTATCTGGGTAACTTGTGGGGCAAATCACATTTTCTTTTGAACATTTTTTTAGGCCTATGGAGTTGAACAGCTGTGAAAATGGATCTCCAAATATGGAAGTAAATGGTGATGAAGAGATCCTAATGAAAACCAAGAGTTCCTTGTATTTGAAGTCCACAGAGGTAGCTTGCAACATGTCCAGTGAAGAAAACACAGATGATAACGTGACAGGTAATGTCAAAAGAAGGTCTGATGCCCTGTATTGAACAATAGAGTAAGGGTCCACACAGACAGAGTGAGCCCAGAAACAGCTCAGCCTCCAAGCAGGTGCTGCGGATCTCCTGCGGGAGCGCGTTATTGCAGGTCACGTAACTACAGCATCTGGTACCCCATCCAGCCCTATTTGTGTAAAGGAAATGCAGTGCTCTTCGTGCTGACACTCATGGCTGTGTTGTGGTGGGTGTAAGTGGTTCACTGACTCTCCCACAATACCTCTGAATCTTTGAACCCAGACTGCAATGTCAGACTTGGTATGTAACATTAGAGCAGCTAAGTTTTTCAATCTCCTGGTTTCTAGTGGGGCCTGAGGATGTCACAGTTTACCAACCACCAAACTTCTGTGTGTTAGTCAAGCCAAACTTCAGGTAATACCTGTGTCGTTGGGAATGCTGTCCTTTCAGAGTTCACTAATTGCACTGGTACTAATCATAAAGCCCTGTCTTCATATCAGCCAGATTGACTATACTAGAGCTTATGGTTGTTGTAACTGCTCATTAAAGGAATTTAAATCTGAGTACTAACGAAAATAAGATCATTTATTTCTTCTCCAACTGTCTTAAAATGAAAGATTCTATGATTTTTTTTCTAGCCAAGTCATTTTTTAAAAATGTGTTAATTCTAGAAGCAGTTAGGTGTTGATCTAAGAAAGGTAACACACACCCCTGATTGCTTGAGTAAAGATTCCCTATAGAAACTGTCATCACAGACCAGTCACATTTACTGGTAAAAAAAACTTTGAGCAGAGTTCTTTGACATGATGTTGTATTTATACTGTATAAAATCACCCGAACACTGATTAGTAAATAGTGTGATTGTTCCAAGGGAATAGTTTGCTTTCTACAACCATGTGGTTTTGATCAGCAATAAATAACATTGCTTTAATGTCCTTTTCTATTTAAAAACACCTCTGTGTCCTAGATAAATATTGAGCACAGAAGCATCACTGTAATTCATGTTTAAATGACACATATTCTGTCCATGAAAGTGTATCTAAACTGCAAAATTAGCAACAAAAGGCACATACGTGCAAAAACCATGGCAGTAAACATAGGCATTTGTTTGTGGTATAAGACTTGAAGCAAGAGGACCACCTAAGCCAGGCCCATGCATGCTAGGCAAGTCTGTACCACCCTGCGCTGCCAGGAACAGCTAGAAAAGCACTGCAAGTCTTGATTGCCATCCGAATTTTAGCATGTGGGCAAATCTATTAACACAGAATATGCTTACAATCAGGACTGACCATTCTTAGGAGAAAGACTTTAGAAACCACTAAATGCCCCTCACATTGCTATGACTGATAGCTAAGGTCCTTAAAATCATGTTTCAGGAGCCAGCAAGATGGGTCAGTGGGTAAGGGCACTTGCCACTAAGCCTGATGATCCAAGTTGGATCCCTAGAATGCATATGGTAGGAGAAAATGAGCTTCTTCAAGCTGTTCTCTGACTACACACATGTATAAAATATATAAATATAAAAACAATACATTATGGTTTTGAAGAATACTGAATAATAGTGGAGTAATTTCGATGCATTAATGAGTAAAAACAAGATACACATGTGCTGTGTGTGTTTGTGTGCTTTAGAAATTTTCACTAATGATTATATTAATTTTTATAACTAAATATATAAGAACTTAGTGATGAGCATCATTTACTTTGTAGTTCAAGGTGAGATAATGAAGGAAGATGGAGAGAAAAACCTTGGGAACCATGCCAGTGATCTGTCACAGCCTGTATCAGACTCCGTTTGCTCACCAGAATCTGCCTGGGAAGACAGTGAAGAAGTTATTCCAACTTTCTTTAGTACTATGAATACCAGGTATTCTGGGCCCTTTAAACTCTCTGGCAATTGGGCACAAATCAGTTGTGATGGTACATTCTAAGAAATAGAGGATGTGGTATACCAAGTACCTAGTATTTACCCTTGTGGATAGGGAATGAGAATGGTTTGGCTTATGAGGCTGGATTATCTCCAGAAAATTATATTAGTGGACTGTTTCATAATAGAAAAATAATGACTGGGGCTACTAATGCAATCAGGCAAAGTGGTTTTCCTTAAAAAGCTGTTTCTGTGACATCTCTGAACTACAGAGTGCTGATGTGGTTTTAATCTTCCATTCTCCATATCGCCAAATTGTTCAGCTTTAGTGACATTGAACTTCTGGAAGACAGTGGCATTCCCACAGAAGCTTTCTTGGCATCTTGTTATGCGGTGGTTCCAGTATTAGGTAAGATTGCTGCAGTTGCCTCATATTCATTAATTTCTAGACTTTTTTCGATCACAGTTATTTCAGATGATAAATATTCTGCATTATGTGCAGTAAGTTGACTCTCCTTAGCTTCCTCTTAACATCATATGCCACAGTGAAAACTGTACAACTTAAACACTCTTGCGTTTTCCCACTCCACTTCTAATCATTTAGACTATTGACTTTAAAGTGGTATAAAGGAAACAGGGAATTTTGCTTTCTAGAAAATACAATGCAGGCAGAAGTGGAGGCAGTTCCGGAACAGGCCTTCAAAGTGTCAATACTGTGGGGACATCTTACAAGTCAAAAGAATTTTTTCAAAGATAAATTTATATAGTTATCTTTATATATTTATTTATATATGCGTATATGTACACATATATATTAAAATTTGCTTAGGATAAAGTCAGTGATATTGTTAATGTGTTGAAATTTACTGTATGACCTTTCAATGTGTATCCTTGTTTCTCATGTTTGAATATGTGGTGTATGTGCATGTATGTGTGTTCACACGTGTGAGTGTAAAGGCCAGACATTGATGTCAGGTGTCCTCCTCCATCATTCTTCACTTTATTTACAGAGATTGTCTGATTCTCCCAAATGCTGTGATGAGAGGTGGTTTCCACACCTGCCCTGCTTTGACATGGGCTCTGGGGACCTGAATTCTGGTCTTCACACTTGCATAGCAAGCACTCCACACAATGAGCCATCTCACCCAAGCCCAATTTATGTCATTTTAATTGAAGTATAACTTGTATCTAGAACTTAAGTGTTATGATAGTCAGGTTTGGTAAATTCACCTACCTATATATTCTACATCCTTATCAAAGCAGAGAACATTTTCCTCACCCTAGAACATTTCCTGTGCCAGTTGGTTCACAATCCTGACGTAGTCATTGTATTGATTCTCATCACCATAGTTGAGTCTTTCCTTGTCTATATACATGGAATCCCATTGTCTATGCTTGCACCTGGCATTTCTCACTAAGCATGCTTGGAGATTCATCCTTGTGGCCTGTATTTCTTATCCTCTGAGGTATCTTGGAAAGAACTTCTGGTGTGTCTGAACAGTTGGACTGTGACAACCTACAGAACAGCTGCTAGCGCACTTGTGCAATTGCACATTCACAGTTTCTGGGGTTCTAGCTGCTTCACCTCTTCACACTTGCTGGTGTAAATACTTGGGGTTTAGGCCTTCCTCATGTATTGAGTGGCCCACATTGTAGCTTTAATTTGCATTTTCTAGCTACCATTATGCTATCATACAGTTATTGCCACTGCAATATTTTTTGTTGATTTTGTGATGTGACTCTGCAAATCTAGCCTATGTTTAAAGGTGGTTATTATTCTTTTCATTATTTAGAGTGCTATTGCTGACCTATGACCTATTGCTGAATTTTGAGAATTCTTCAAATATTCTGAGTAAAATACCATTATAGACACATGCATCACAGGTTTTTTCCTTAGACTCTCTCACTTACCTGTTTATATTTTATGATATCTTTGTAAATCTATATTTTTAAAAAGTAAGTTGCACATTTTGACAAACTTGACTTTTGTGTTAATGTTTTCAGTTCTGTGGTTACTTTTAAACAAGTGTCGTAAAGATACACTCATGTGTTTTTCTAGATTTTTAAAGTTTACATTTATGGCGTATGTGCAGGTTTGTATATGTGTGTGCACGCGTGTGTGCGTGCATGCACATGCATTGTGCACAGGTTCACATTCATGTAGAGGCTAGAGGACAGTCTTGGGTGGTCCTCTTATGCCGTCCACATTGTTTTTTGAGACAGAGTCTCTTACTGGCCTGTAGCTAAACCTGTAGGCTGGGTCACCTGGCCAGAGGGCCCCTGTATCTTCCTCCCCAGTGTCCTTCCCATTGTTGAGAGACTGTTGGCGTGTGCCACCATGCCTGATGCCTCTTGCCCATCCATGGGTACTGGGGATAGAATTGAGGTGCTCACACTTGCAAGGCAAAAGTTCTATAAACTGTGCAGTCTTCCGAGCCCACAGTCCATGCTGGATCACACTTTGTATGTGGATCATTTTGATTGAATCATAATCTAGTTATTTGAGGACCATTTGTCAAAACAACCACCATCTGCTCTAGAACCTATAGGCCTATAAAATGGATCTCCTTTCTGCTCCCATGATTTATTTGTATTTACTTAGTGTCTTAATTATGTAAAACATGAAATTAGAGAATGTAAGCCTTCCAGTTTTGTTCCTTTTCATAATTGTTTTGCAGATCTCTATAATTTTAGTTTTAAATTTTCAATTAAAGGGTCTTTAGAATTTTATTAAAGCTTCATTCATTGAATTTGTATGCCAGTTTGGAGAGTTAATGCCTTATACAACATTCTATCTCCTAATCCATGACATGGTGTGTATATGTGTGTGTGTGTGTGTGTGTGTGTGTGTGTGTGTGTGTGTGTGTGTTAAATATTTAATATATTTATTTTTATTTCTATATATATGTGTATATAAAACATAAAATGGATATGTATATACATTTATTTTAGTCATTTTATTTTCTCTAAATAATGCTATGTATAACTTTGTGTTTTATTAGCAATAAATTTTGAAGTTTAAGGTTTGATGCTGTTTACATATAAAGCATTAATATATGTAGAGACATTGATTGTTGCATGCTGGTAGTCATTTTATAGTCAGGAGTAAGATAATTTTATAAAATTTTCTGCAGCTGTTGAAATTTATGAGCTTTTTGTAATTACCTAAACAATGGACTGTGTTTTTACATTCATTCACTCCTGTTTTGCTATGTTTCTGTGGTTTTCATTTTTTTGTGTGTTTTCTGTTTTGTTCATTTTATTCTCATTCTTTGGTTTAGAGCTACTGAAACTATTGTGCTTTTACTATTTTATTTCATATTTGGAATTTTTAGCTGTATCATTTTTCTACCTTTTTTTTTTAAAGATCAGTCAGATCATTTTTGGAATTCATTCTTTTTTCTCTTCTGTTTCTATGCTGTACTTTAAAAGTAAAGTTTGTGTTTGGTAAACATAATGTAATTAAAATTATAAAGTTAGATATAGCAAAATTAAAGTTAGTAGTACAGTCAAACCACATGTAATTATAAGTTTATAGAAGATACAGTAAAATACTAAAATAAAAACTAATACATTTTATATAACATACCATATCTAAAATGCCATAAACATGTAATCATTTTTAATAGCCATTAATGAGATACTCTGCATTTTTTCCTTGGTGCTAAGTCTTTAAAATCTGATGATGTATTTTAGTCTTATAATTCATTTCATTTTAGACATTGCAAGTACTAAATGATTACATATCTGTATCTGCTGCATTGGGCAATGTACCAACCTAAAGAATTTCGAATGGGTACTCTAAATTTATGATGCATTTTTATCAGGCCTGCCATGTAGGACCTCATTACAGTGACTCATCTCAGAGCAGCAGGCTAGACAATCTGATGACAAGTCCAGTTCCGCAGCCTGTGTTTAGAAAATGACTTAGAAGTCAGAGTAATGGTGGGGAAAAGATCTTCTAAATATATTATCACTATAAAAATATGTCCTATTTCAATAATGTATATAAGTTTCCTACATTAAAAATCACTTTTTCAAAAATGATTTTGATCCTTTGTTTCAGACAAACTTGGTCCTACAGTGTTTGCTCCTGTTAAGATGGATCTTGTCGGAAATATTAAGGTAAGTATAGATAATGTAGATGCGTATCTATAAAGAGATGGATTTTATTCCTTTTGTGTTGACAAGAATAAATCAAAAAGGGGGGAAATGACTCCCACTTTCAGTAGAGGAATGACTGAAGTATGGTAGAAGGAAGCCATTGGTAAGCTTGCCACTGGATCAGTGGAGAGTCACTCATGTCTGCAATGATTGTGTGCATTTGGGGTTTAAACAATAACAAGGAACATTTTCCAAAAATATGTTGGCTAGCGATAGCTGTCATTTTTCTGAGACAGAAAAGGCCAACTTCCTGGTACATCTGTGGTGCCATCAACAATAGGAACTCTGAGCCTCCTTCCCAGAAAAATGAGAGTTGTTTATATTACACCCAACTTTTGTGGATTAAATCTTTTTTAAGCCAGGCTTGGTGGCACATGCAGATTCCAGCATGGAATTGGGAAACAGGAGCAGGAGGATCTCTGAGAATTCAAGACCAGTATAGTCTACAGATTGAGTTTCAGGACAGCAGTGGCTATAGAGAGAGAGACCTGTCTCTAAAATAAAATAAATTATAGTGCCTTTCACTAGGTATGATACATTGAGAAAATTCTGTGGATATCTTTCCTCGCATGTTTGGAGAATTGGATACAAGTGACTTTAGTCTTATCCGCAGGATGAAAAGTAGCTTTGAAACAGAAGTAGGCAAAGGTTCTTCAAGAACAATGATTAAAGCTTGGGACTCTTGGAGTTATTAAAGCCTCACAAAAGTTTTGGAAATTTTAAAGTATATTACCCTAAAAACAAGTGAAGATAGTGAAGTCTGGCTTTGGTTTCTTAGGAGTTACCTGCTCACAGATTTGAATTCTGTACTGATGGTACTGGTAATTTTACAGTCTTCATCTTAGGCAGTTGTCCTGCTTTGTTTTGTTTTCCAGAAGGTAAATCAGAAGTACATAACAAACAAGGAAGAATTTACCACCCTCCAGAAGATAGTGCTGCATGAGGTGGAGGCGGATGTAGCTCAGGTTAGGAACTCAGCAACTGAAGCCCTCTTGTGGCTGAAGAGGTGAGGTGGCCAAATGGAGTGAGCATGTGCTCAAGCTCAGCTCTGTTGAAATGCTCCCTGCTCCCTGTTGCCTACAGTGAACAGAACATCAGCTTGACAGTGACAGTCATAGTGTTTGTAAGATCAGAATTTTAGACTGGAGAGCCAAGGAGTTTCTCGTTAAGTGAGTGGCTTTCCACTTCAGTACAGAGCCTAGGAAAACACTAAACTCAGAACCAGAGTTTCTGGACCCCTAAGTCTGGTATGGAGTTCCAGAATGTTCATTTCTAATGAATTCTAGATGATGCTAAAGCCACCAGTCATAGCACTGTCATTTGAAAACAGTGCTTCTGGGATGCCAGAGAGGGTGAGGGGAGTGCCCAAAGCTTTCTAACAGGAACAGCAAGAAGCTATTCAGAAAGGACCTTGGTCTGCCCTGCCTGCTCCCTGCCTTGCCTGAGATACTGATGTGAAGAGGTAGCGTTTGCCATATGAACTTTGAAAATAATACTTCTTCCTCTCTTTCGTTTTAGAGGTCTCAAATTTCTGAAGGGATTTTTGACAGAAGTGAAGAATGGGGAAAAGGATATCCAGACAGCACTGAGTAAGTGTGCCTCGTGTTGTGATAGATCTGCAATTAGACTTGACATGGAGACCCTGGAGACAGGACAGGACATAAGGGGACATTTCTACTTCTTCAAATTTGATTTCCTTTTCTTTTTCAAACTTCATTTTTATCAAGCTTCTTGTGTGTTTTCTTAAAAGGAATCTATGAGGGCTAAGGATATATGTTATTTAGTGGTAGAGCATTTGTCTAGCATGTGTGAGAAGAAAGGAATAGAGGGAGGGAGGAAAGGTGCTGTGCAGTGACCAGGCCAGCTAGGTCTGACTTATTAAACCACCATGGGGCTAGTTTTCCTAAGTTAGTCCACAGGGATGCATAACTAAGGAAGAGCTGGTCTTAGAGTGCATGAAAGAAGGTAGAAGGAGGAATTCTGAAGAATTTTTGTAGGGTGACATTAGGGGTCAACTGTCATTTCTACTCCTCCACATGTCCATCTTGTAGTGATAGAGTCAAGATTGCAAGAAAGGCCTGTGTGAGAGAAGAATGACTTGTATCTCCATCATGATGCTGTAACTGCAACATGTCAGTGCTTAGTAAATAAATACTAGTAGATGGGCTGTGGGTTGATGAATCTGTCAGAAAAGCTAGACTTCATAGCATCCTCACGGTGTACTGATAATAACATGGCTGAAATCTCACTCTGGTCCTGTGGAAATCATGTTGCATGAGCCTTTTTCTTTGTTTGCTTGCTGTTTTCGTTTGGTTTTTATTGAAGTAGGTTCTCTCGCTGCGTAGCCCAGGCTGGCCTCCAACACATAACTCCATGCCTCAGTCTCTTGGGTGGTGGAATGACAGGCATGTGCTACCACACCAGGCCTAGCATGAGTCTTGGGGTATGTGGAAGGAATGAAATTCTTGTTATTCTAAAGCCTGGATTATTGTGATGTTGGGACACAAAGTCAGGCACTAAGTAGCCATGGCTATACACAGAGAGATTAGTTAATTGTGAGCCTTTGAAGAGGATTACAATATTCAGTGCCCCAGGGGGGCATTGTCCATTTTGGCACAAGTTCTGAAAGACTCTGGCCCCTTAGGATTTACCCAGTCTACCCTGGCACCATGTGACAATCACACTGACAAGTCTGTAGCACTTTAAAAATGGTCACAACTTAATAGTCCAATTTTACTGAATAGAAAACCAAATTATAAGAGATTAAAATACCTACTTCAGACCCCACAAAGCCATCATCATCATAGACTACATTGGTAACCTGTCAGAAAATGGGTTTACGTGTCCCAAATCAGAAGTAGAAAGCCTGTTTATCTCAGATGCCAAACCAGAAATTCTCTTTAGACTAGCTTATTAGTGTAGAAATTTTCCCCTGAAAGGGCAACTTTGCTGTAGCAAGAGCCAGAGGTGACACTGTGTGCCTGGCAGGTGCACATGTGAGTCAGAGCAGTGCTAATGGCACTCCTGCTGCAGCTGGGAGAAATGGACCCAGAGCCCAGGAGAGCTTTGATCTTGAGGTTCAGCCCTTCCACCCATTCTGCATGTTTCTCCTCTAGCTGGAACTTGTTTGTAGGCAGGGTCTTATGTGGCTCAGGGTAGCCTCCAGTGTAGCTGAGGATAACCTTGGATTTCATATTCTCCTGCCTCTGCCTCCCAAGTGATAGTATTGCAGGCCTGTGTCAGCACTCCTGCCTGGTTCATGCAGTGCTGGAGACTCAAACCTAGGGCTTCACACATGCCAGGCAAGCACCCTGCCCACAAGCTACTCACTTGTACTCAGGACCTGTAAGATGTTGACTCTGCGAAGAGAAACGCTGAAGGGCAGGTGTTGCTTTATAACCAAAATTATCATAGCCAGTCTCAGCTCTGCCTCCCCCATTCTCCCTTTGCTGCTGTTCATGGAATACAACAGGGAGCTGAGAATTCAAATTTTTCATCCTGACATTCAGGCTTATTTCAGAGGTCTTTCTGTTAAAATGCTGTTTTTGTAATAATCCTAGTTTCTGCTGCCATTCAGTGTAAGGAGATAAAGTACTCTAGCCACCTCCCCTTCAGACATGACTACAAACTGTGTAAATAGGTATGACTTAATTGTTTAATTTTTCCTTCTTTGACCATTTCGTACCTATGTTTATTTCATGTTGTTTTGTACCTATAGTGTATTTTGACATTTCCATCCTATACTTCCTCTCATCTTCTTCCATTCATGCTGAACCCCTCCTCTACAAACACTCCTCCCACTTTGAGTTCCCTTTTAACGTATAAAAGTCAGTGTGCAGCAGGAGGGCTGTAGAAAAGCATGTCACAGACCCAGAGTCTAAGAGCTCTAGCTTGTCAATGCATTCTAAGGCTCTTAGGCACCCCAGGGAGGCTTGCTCACCCATGGCAAACATGGCCTTAAGAGGACATTTACATAAAGTTGTTCAGGCCCCAAAGGCTCCTGGGTGCAGATTTCTTTTAGGACAATGGTTTTGCTTGTCTGTTTAAAACAACAACCTTTGTAAGTGAAGCTGCTACCTTGTCTACTTGAGCTTAAATGTGTGTTTGTATATTCGTAAAAATGTGTGGACAAAACTATGTCTTTGCTTCTCCTGGAATTTTCTTTGAGACTGTAAAAGGCATATGTTTGTTGCCATTATTTGCTTTCACAAAGAACAAACTTTTTTTTGTAAAAAATTGTTTGATATGACACAAATGCCCCAAGTTGTCATTGCTTTGTGACCTTGGGAGGGTCAGTTTCGCTCTGGGTCTTTCATTTCTTCCTTTATAAAGGGAACAAAGTTGGGCAAGGAGAATGTTAAGGCTTTCTCTGGGAACTGACACAACTCAAATAATTGGGAGAAAGATGTCATTTATTTTAATTTTGGTTTTTGAGACAGGGTCTCTCTGTGTAGTCCTGGAGCTTTCTATATGGATCAGCCTGACATCATGTTTAAGAGAGGTCCACCTGCCTCAGCTTCCTGCGAGCTCAGATAGAGGTGTGCACTATCATGTCAGCTTTCTTTTAGAGACCAAAGAATATCAGATTACAGAGCATGCCTTATACTGATGAGTGAGAATTACAGTGGAGATTAATGCTTCTCATTATTTAACCTTCGCTGTGCAACCAAAGTCGACCAGGCTTAGACTTCATCTTATTTCACATGACATAGATCCTTGTTCATTTGAATTTCATGACTTCCTGGGCTTGTTTCAGGACCCAGCCCAAAGTGTTTCTTCTCTCTTCTCCATCAGCACTTGTGACTTCCATCTTGCAGGTAGAACACCCACCATCAAGATCAAGGTGCAGACATGAGGAACAGCCACTTCCTCTGACCTTGCCAGGTGGGAGGACACAGGCGTGTGGTGCACATGCCCCCTTGTCCTTAGGCAGGCTGCCTGTGCTTTTGGATTCACAGTAATCTTATGTTCTCTACTTCCTGCCCTTTAACAGGAGGGCATAAGAGGTTTCCAGACCATTTGGAATGGTTAGTTTGAATGGCATAATACCGAAACTGTGAGCACTCAGAGGTTGGTAGAGCACTGAATTCAGAGCAGTTTGCCCAGCCAGGGACTTTGTTGCTAAGGGCTTGGGACCACAACAGTACTCTCCGTTACATACTTGAAAGAAGTGAGTCTCATCCTGTTACTTCCCTACTATTGTTTTAATTCAGGTGAGGTTGAGTTTGTTACTGTACAAAAAATAACCCTCTAGTCATGGAATTTTTCCATAAAAAGAGAGTATTTCTCTGGAGTGTTGTGTGTTAAGTCTACTAGTTTCTTTAACCCCCACATTTAAAATGTTTATGTATGTGAGTTTGCATGTGTCAGGATCACACATGCTGCAGTGTTCTTTCTGTATCTCCCTTTTTGGATACTGTAAAATCAGGGAGGAAAATGTTAACATTTTCATGGCTGCCATTGAGCCATAGGTAACTCAGAATCCTTGACTTGATGGATAAAAATCATTGCTGTTTGGTTCAACTTCTTTTCTGTCCCAATGAACTGCTCACAGCTACACAGCTTGGCCCAGTCTATGAGTCTTTCTCATCTGTGGTCATTACCTTCCCTTCTGTGTACCCTTTCCAGCTTTCAGGATGCCCAAAAATCATCTGTTGGGTGCACCAAAGCTGGGCTAGTCTCCATTCCTTTGGCACTATGTATAAATCTGTACTCTAGCAATTAGATGGAGATACCAATTTGTCATTTAATATTTATATGGTAATGGTGTGTTAGAAGGCTAGCTCCATCTGGCTCTGTCAAGTTCCTGAGGGCAGAGGATTGACTGAGCTTAAATTATCTGAGAGCCACTGCTTTGCACAGTGTGTGGAATATACTAGATCCATACTAAATTCCTGGTAAGTGAAACAGCTTTCACTGTAGATGCCCAGAGAAGATTTTTCATAATGGCATTCAGTACTTTGCCTGGTCCGTGTGGCTCCTGAGAAGGCTGTGAAGGCTGAAAGTATGGCTGTCTTACTGGGTTCCCTCAGGGCTGTGTCCTACACTGCCTGTCTGCCCTGCACACTCTGTACTGTGTGATGTAGCAGGGCTCCTTTCAAGACATCACTAAGGCTCTGGGCACCATCTAAACTTACCACATGCCATCCACAGAGTAAGCTAAGTTTCTGGCTTATACTGGCAATATGTGTATTTAACTTGCTCAGACTTATTTGCCCAAGGGGAAAAAATTAATTTAATCTTGGGATTGCCTTTCATCTGTGTCTCCATATTTGCATTTAATTTCTATCCCTTCTGCATGAGCTCCCACACTAATGCTGACATCTCATCCTGTTCCAAATAGATAGCCAAAAGGGAATCTGTTGTATTTAAAACCTGACGTCTTATATATAAAGTATGTTATAACATGGATTGAAGTGTTCTTTTATAGAAATGTACTTGGTGAAAATTTAAATTATGCAAAATGAAATGATAACACTGAAAAACACTGAAATTTTTTTAATAAAGCCTTATCTGAAAAATTGGAGTGGAAGTTGGCTAAAATTACATCATTTCAAAGCTGTAGAAGGCTATAGACCCTCTAAGCTGCAGCCACGTGGCAATCTGTGCTTACCAGCAAAGGCAGCATCTGGGCTCTACGTTGCTTTCTCCACACCAGAACTCATACCTGTAGTTCGAGGACCTGCCTTCTTCGCATCTGCTTTTGCCAGAGCTGAGCATGACTGTGCAGCCTGTCACAGTACTTGCACTAACACTGGATTAGCCCAGGGAAGTAAATAGATTTGGAATAGAAAACTTACATGTGCTCAGGCAAAACACAGGCATAAAGGTGACTCCATGCTTGTGATGCACTGGGCAACTAGTTCAAGAATGCCATAAGCTCCTGTAGACGATGTGCGAACATGGATGAGACATATGAAGAAAAATTCCTGGTGGGCTACAGGTTGTGTCTTCCAAGAATATCTCTTCTGTGGGTACGATAGAAAGACAGTTTTGAATTTTCTATATATTGTTACCCAATATTCCAGATAATGTATTTTTTTCATAAAATGCCATCCTTTGCTTTTGGGATTGTTTTAAATTAAAATTATTATATACCAGCTTCACAATCTTACTTTAAAACTTCTTAGAACCAAAGTAATAGGCAATTGTCTTTAGTATCAAAATATGAATTACTTTATTAACAGTTCTCCACAACAGCTTATAACTGACTTCAGTCCATCCTGTGCAGACATTTTGTTTGTTTGAGGGATGTTCTGTTTTGTTTTAAGACACAGTCTTCATCTGTTGCTCAGACTGACTTGAAATGACTGTTCTGCCTCAGCCAACTGAGTAGCTGGAGCTGTGGGCGTGTATAGTATTTTTAAAGGCTTCTCCATAGTATTTTTAAAGGCTTCAGGCTTCCACACTGTGTATCCAGGGTTATAAGAATATTAAGACAAATGTTTGTTTTCTCCAGAGTGAACATTACAGTTGGCACAAAATTAGAGATGATTTTACTAAGGGGAAGACAGGTAATTAGAGAAGGTATCTCAGCCTGGCCCAGGATTGTGCCTGCATTTTAAAGAACTGTGTTTTAACTTAATTGCATAGTTCTAATTGTATTTAGTAACAATTTCCTTTCCCTTTCCTTACTGCTTTATATATGAAAATATTCCCGCTGTGATAATAAACTAAAGTTCAGATACAGGAACCCAGAGTGATGGGGGAAATTCCTGGAAGATAAGAAGCCAGTAATAAGCATACATTAAACAGTACATTGTACAAATCCTGTCAGCATCTTACCGTTCACAACTCTTTCTTTTCAAGATAACGCATACGGCAAAACATTACGGCAACACCATGGCTGGGTAGTTCGAGGGGTTTTTGCGGTAAGTCATTTATGTCCCCTGAAGTTTGCATCCTCGGCAAGGTGTTGTGTTTGTTAACATCAGTGGTTCTCACCCTGCGAGTAGGGGAGGGGGGGTCAAACAGCCTTTTCACAGAGGCTGCATATCAGATATCCTGCATATGGGATATTTACATTGTGATTCATAACAGCAGCAAAATTAGTTATGAAGTAGCAACTAAAATAATTTTATGTTGGGGGTCACCATAAGATGAGGAACCATATTCAAGAGTTGTAGTATTAGAAAGGTTGAGAACCACTGGTTTACATAGTATTTTTACTTGCTTTATTTTTGGAGACATGACCAAAAAATGCCAGCCTATTTATGTTTATAGGCCTTTGAAATGTAAAAGTGTCAGTAATAGAAAACATCTATGCCCACACAGCAGAGACGTATGAGTGATAGCAATTCAGTGTCACTGGAGTTGTGCCTCTGATGTGGTTGTCTTCAGATAATAACAGAGAGAGCTGGGTAGGCTGTAATCTCAAATACCACCAAGAAGAGAAAGCCCAGTGATGGATTCCAGCTGGCAGCACCCTATGCTACCCATTAAGTCCATCCTGTTGAGTTTCTGCTCTTAGTTCAGGTTTTTTTTGATGGGGGTGGTTTTTGTTTGTTTGTTTGTTTTTAGTTGAATTTTATTTTCAAATATTAACTGTATGGGTCTGTAACACCAGGCAGGGCTAGTAATATCTTCTTAAACAGTTATTATCTCAGTGAAGATATTAAACATTTGTATGCATGTGTTCTCCTGTTAGCTGCCATTTCTTCCTTCCCAGAACTTTGCTTTACCTACTTGGCTTTTAAAAATACCTTTTTATTAAATCTATTAATACTGATCTAGTTTATCTATTTCTTTAAATAATATAGTTCTATTTATACATGTTTATATTTCTATATCCACATATTTATGGCATGTGTGTAATTAGTTGTTGTGTAAATTCATTGTTTTTTACATTTAGCCTATAGTTTAATTCTGTAGTCTTTGTCCACACTTAATAGATTCTGTGGTGACTTTTGTTGTTTTGTGTGGTTCTAAGGATCAAGCATTGAGCCTCACATGCTAGACAAGCAGTCCTGCCCCAGCCCCCACTATGACCACTTTAATACCATGAGAGTCAGAGAAAAATTTGTAGTGGCTGCATAATACATCCCATATTTTGCTTAATCCTCTGTGAGAAATTCAAGCCACCTGTGAGTTTGTTCTTAGCAGTGGCACAGCATCTGCTCACACACATTCTTTAATTCTTCCTTCCCTAAAATAGATTGCTGGAAGAACTGCCTATCAATACCAAGTAGTGTATCAACAAATTACAGTTTGGAGTATTTATCATATTCTAGACATTGTTTTAAGTGTTTGAGAGTCATGAAGTTATTACTCTCCCAACACTGAGATGAATCTTATTTTTCCTGTTATAGACAGAGACCTGAAACAGTTCACACAAATCAGCATCTGCGTTTGTTGACGCCTTCCATATCCAGTGTTTGATGTTGGTGGTATTTGAGAAATAGAAGATTTCAAGCATTTTGCACAGCTCTGCTTATATATGAGTCAAATGTGTGGCTTCCCCGGCCTCCCAGCCTTAGTTACTTCCCAAGTCATCCATACTTTGAAAGGCTTATTTCATTTTCTAGTGTGCCAACTAGCTGATCTCAGTGGCTCAGAGAAAACATCTTTCCATCCTTAGAATTTGACTCTTTTGGCAGCCAAGTACTGAACTTTTATCCTCAAACACATGAAGTCTGAACAAATGGCAGCCAAGGTTCTGCTACCTGGCTGTTGATACCCAGCTGTCATTTGACCTTCCTGGCTTCCTCTTCAGCCAGTTGGAGAGTTGCACTTAGCATTGGCCCCGCCTCTTGTTTCCTAGAGTGCTGCTGGCTGGGTAAAGAATTCTAGGCTAACAGTTGCTTCCCTAGGAATCTTGAAGGTACTGTTGTCTTCCAGTTCTATCAGCACTAGAAAACCCAATGTAATTTCTACCCTACTCTATATCATCTGTACTTCCCTTCAGGATACTTTCATATTTCATGATAAACTTTTTTCTGTTTTTTTTTTTTAACATTTGAATTGCAGATCTTTCTCCCTTTCTCTCTCCCTTTCCCTCCCCCCCTTAGCTTTTTGAGACAGAGTTCTTCTGTGCTGGCCTTGAACTCAGAGAGACCTACCTCTGCTCCCAAGTACTGGGATTAAAGACATGTCTCACTACACTGGGCTTGAATGGCAGGTCTTAACGTCCTTCAGTTCTATGCTTCAGTTCTGTAAAATTTTTCTATGTTGTGTTTTGAATAACTACTTTGTTTTCATTTCTCTTTCTGTCTTTCCTTCATATTTACACTGTCCTCTGAAATCTGTGTGCCAAGCTTTAGGTAAAACACTTATATGATCTTAATGTTTAAAATAAGAAAAAAAAATATTTTTTTTTCCTTTTACTTTCTATGGTTGAGAAAGGTGAGGTTCTATGAAGTTAAGCACTTTGCTTAAGTTCTTCAAATGAGTATGTGAAAATTCTGAGACTTAATGCTACAAGCCACTCTTATTTCACAATTGAGAAGGATGGATTTTCCAAGCCTTTCAAAAATTGTCGGTCGTCCACTGCGTCAGGAGAGTCAGCCTCGCGAAATTCAGAAGAGAGACTTGGGCAAGCTAGTAATAGCCAGACTAGCCAGACTGCAGTGGGAGGTGGAGGGCACACAGGAAGTCTTCCACCAGGAAGAGATGCAGTGTGGTTGAGACGCACAGGGTAATTCCTGGATTTCAGTCCTGGTCCCAGTATTCCCGAGACTTACAGTGTTCATACAAGACAGAGATAGAAACTGGGCATGATTCTTACAAAATATTGTTAAAATATCAGTATAGAAGCAAGCAGCAAACATTATTTCTATATTAGCTACTTGTTGCTACAACAGAATACCTGAGAACTGCAATTTAAGGAAGGAAGAGTTTATGTAGGGTCACAGTTTGAGGATATGATCATGGCAGAGAAGCCATGACAGCAGAAGCTTGAGGAACTGATCACCCTGCATCCACAGTCAGAAAGCAGAGAGAGATGAATTCTGCTGCTCATTTAGACAGAGGCCATAGTCTATGGAATGGTGTCTCTCATGTTGAGAGTGGCTCTCTCCCCCAACCTTGAAACTCACTCACAGATGTCCCCACAAGATTGTCCCCTTAGTGATTCTTGATCCCGTCAGGTTAACAATATTACCATGATAAGTCTACCCTTTTCACCACAGCCTATGCAAGATGCATTCAGTCCAACTTAAAAAGTCCTCATTTTGTTGTCTTTAACAATTCCAGAACTGTTTAAAAGTATAAGAGTGTCTTCTAAGACTCAGGAAATATCTTTAACTTTGAGCCTCTGTAAAATAATCAAGTTACAGACTTTCAACATAAACATTAGGGCACAGAGTAAGCATTCTAGTTACAGAAGAGAGAAGTCTGGGCATAACAAGGGAATATCAGACCAAAGTAGGGAAAACTCAAATTCTGCAGCTCCATGTGGAGCGTCTAGAGTTCACTATGGAATCATTGCACTCCAGAGTGATTGGACAGCCCTGCTGTTGTAGCTCAGCTGCCTGAGGCACATGGAACCTCTCTTTGAATCACCTTTAATCCATGTCTCCAGCTTTCCTCACTAGCTATCTACTGATCCTGGCATCTCTATCATCCTGAGTTCTCCGTTGCAACTTGGGCTTCGCATTTGCAGCTTTATGCAGTGGTCTCTCAGGGCTTCCTTGCAAGTAATCCAATCTCACCTCAGATAACTTGGCTCAGAAGCCATCTGGAATTTCAGTCAAGCTTACCTGACTCTCTCACTCTTGTGTCTGTCATAGCTCTAAAGCCAGCAACACATGGACAGTGTTTCCAAGTTCTGCTGTCAGCAGCAAGATGTAGCCTTGCATGGGGCTCTGTGTGCCTTCCAGGCTGACCTGGGAAAACACTTCCTTAGGTGGTGGTTGTTTGCCAGAGAGCCTCTTTGGTGGTAGGCTCAACTCATGATCTCCTTTCAAGTGAATTTGTTTATATACAAAATGGAGCTTTTGCTGGGTATGATTTTCCCCTCAGGGCACCTTTCCTGTTGACTCATACTTCTTTTCAATGGTGTTAAAATCTATAAAATTCTAGCTGCTTTCTCAGTATTGGCCTTATCTACAACTTCAAATTTCTTCTTGACACAGCACCTTTCTGTTTCCTTTTGTTTTCTGACTGTAGTACTAGATCAGAGCATGCCATAACCTAGATACTATCCATCAGAGACTTCCTCTGCCAGGGAAATTAGCCATTTGAGTTCAGCCTTACTCACTCAAAGTCTCAGTACAGGCAGAATGTAGCCAGATGATTTGTCAGAATAAAATGTGACTGGCCTCTAGTTCAGTTCCCAGTATAGTTCTTGTTTTCCTATGAAACTGCATTACCTGGACCTCCTCTGGCCTATTTTGTTGGCATTCTAATCTTTCAAACACCTGCTAGAACAATCCACTGAGCTCAGTTTACAACATCCTAAGGCCTTTGTAGTCTGAAATCTAAACTCTTCTGCAAACCAGTTTCAAAGAACCAAGGAACAGAAAGTCAATTTCATCAAGTAACAACCCCACTCCTGGTACCAGTTTTCTGTATTGGTTACTTTTATCCTTTCTGCAATAAAATATCCAACTGAAGAAATTTAAGAAATATGGCTTATTTGGACTTAGATTTTGAGGGTACAGTCCATTATAACAGGTGGAGCTTGAGACAGCTGGTCACATTGCACCCACAGTGAGAAAGTAAGAGAGATGTTGCTCCTTGGCTTGCTTGCTTCTTTTTCATCAATTTAGAACTCTACCCATGGAATAATGCCACCAACATGTATGGTAGGTCTTCCTACCATACAATCTAGAATATCACAGACATGTCAAGAAGTTTGTCTTTTTAAGTCTATATCCTGTCAGGTAGTCATTATGACCATTACAAGTCCCCTTTCTTGTTAGAAAATATGCAAAGGGTTATATAAAATGTCATCCATGTTGAGAAATAATAGACGATATGAAGATAAATGAAATGTGCTTGCATGCTAGATACAAATAGTCCTGGAAGACTAGACAGACACATGCTAACAGACAGGTGTGCTTGCTGACTGTGAGGATTCAAGGAGAAATAGCCTGGATCATACTGGACGAGAAGAGAACTTTTCTCTAAAGTCGTATTTCTAGTCATCCCTGACTTGGTGGCGTTGTTCATTATTAAAGTCCCCTACCTTTTTAGTCTTGAAGTTTTTTGATTTGGTGCTTAGAACATAATATTAGGCAATCCATGAATTAGAAGGGCAGTCATATTTGTTTGTTTCCTCAGCTCTCTCTCTCTCTCTCTCTCTCTCTCTCTCTCTCTCCCCCTCTCCCTCTCCCTCTCCCTCTCTCTCTCTCCTACTCACTTTCACACAGTCTCTCGCTGTGTGTGTGTGTGTAGTGTGTGCATCTATAAGAGTAAGTGTGCATGGGACAGTTGTGTCACAGGCCCTCACAGGTAATTCTTTTGCAGTTGGCACTGAGGGCAGCACCATCCTATGAAGATTTCGTGGCTGCGCTAACCATAAAAGAAGGCGACCACCAGAAAGAAGCTTTCAGTGCGGGGATGCAGAGAGACCTCAGCCTTTACCTCCCTGCTATGGAAAAGCAGCTGGCCATACTGGACACTTTATATGAGATCCACGGGCTGGAATCCGATGAGGTGGTGTGACAGCTACAGGACAGCACCTCCTAACTTCAGGGAATAAAATTTGCTAAAGTGTTTGGTTGCCCTAGTTAATTCCCAGCAACAGCTGTGATACTCTCCAGCTCCTTTCCTTGGGGAGATGGACATGAGGGAGAGAAACAGTGCTTTTATAGAGTTGTTTTAATGCATATGTGTTCCACGTGTTCAAAATCAAGGTGCTAAACATTTCAGCAGGCCTACTGGAAAACAAATCATAGCTGTCACAGACTTGAATAGCAAGTAGTAAGAGCAAAATTGACAAATGAATTTGTTGGGACACATTTTGTATTGTTTTGTTTCAGTTACTAGTTTTAATGTGCCACCCAAGCAGTATGCAAGACTGTAATACAAAGCCAGTGTTTATGTAGCTTAGAGGTTGACTGAGCATCGGCATTTTGGTAAGCCCCTTTGTTGACGGCCTTGCCTTTCTAAGAGTTTGGTATTCCTGGGCTTTCTGAGTGGATCCCTTCTCTGTGGCTCCACCGACGAGAAGGGCTGTGTAGTGAGGACTTTTGGGCAGTTGTGGGAAAACATGGACAAGAACTGTCAAGTGAAACAGTGCTCAAGTAGATGACCTCGCCCCATGCTTCAGAACAGAACAGAACAGAAATGTGGGGTAAGTCATTTGGGTGACACATGCCACTTTTTGCTAATACATTTCCTATGTGTTATCTGAATTAGATATCATAACAAAACAGTGACGTTAAAGAGGATATTTATCCTACTTCAGAAGTAAGTTTAGAATAGGAAGGTCGGCTCAAATTCTTGGAGTATCTTGCTTCTCATGATTTTATTTTTTAATTAATTAATTAATTAATTTTTTGCCTAGCTTCATGAACGCTCTTCAGCAAGAAGAGCCCCGTAGCTTCCAAATGCAATCTAGATCACCCCTGTACTAAAGTCACATGATGTGCTGTTTCAAAGAACAGAGTCCTAGAACTTACCTGAAGAACTCAACTCTGGAGGTGAAACAGGAATGTGCCTGATGATAACCTTCCCAGGTGGCACTCAAGTTCACAAGGTTGAAAAGCCACCCAATTGAATTTTAGTTTACAAAATTCCCAGCCTCTGCAAAAACCAAAAGAAACACCCCCTCCCTGGAGGAAGGGGCCGTCCTTCAAGTAAAATAATTAAATGGCGAGGGAATAGTCCAGCAGCTTGTTTAACATTGCTTGTGGCATTCTTCTATAAAGAGTGACAAGGTGTCCTTGTTTCTCAGCAGTGGACCAAGCTGCCTGTGTGTTTATAGGGAAGAAGCCATGTGTGCCTTCCCCTGTAAAGGCTACTTCCTCCTTCCAACAAGATGGCTCCTCCCGGCATGAGCAGTCCCCCGAGGAAAGTGAGCACTTTCCCAGATGCAGGTGAGGGAGCAGCTGTGCACATTGCTTTCACTGCCGCACGACTAGGGCTCTGCAGAGAATCTTGTGCAGGGAAAGGTACTGATTCTGTCTTTTGTTTGCCTTTAATTAAGTGGGCACTTACATGAGTGAGGCAGTCGAGCTGGCCTCAGTGATGCATGGAGTCCCAGCTACTTGGAAGTAGGAGGCCAAAGTAATACTTGAGCCCAGGACCTGGAGGATAACCTGGGCAACATAGCAAGACCTTGCCTCTTAAAAATACTTTAAAAATTATTTTAAGTGAAGCAAGCCTTTTGCCTACATGAGAAGTTACAAAAATTAAATTTAGGACAGGGGTGATGGCACTATAAAGGGGCTGTAATGCTGACTGACAGTATGCTACTTTGCTCTTGCAAGGAATTCATATGGTTCCTCTTCCCTGGCTAACAGAAAGGGAAAATTGGCCATAATTTAAACCTCATGCCCTTGGCATAACCTCTTAAGGCAGAAAAAGAAAAGTAGCCAATTGTGCCATCAGTGGGCTGTGCCCCCCAGGAAATTGATGTGAATCGTGGCTGTGCTGAGCAGCTGCAAGTGCCTCTGTGGTCTCTAAAGCCCAGGGGTGGGTCTGCACTAAGGCCCTGTATGCACACAAAAGGAAAGCTGCCTTGGAGGGCAGTCTGAGTTTGTAGGTTCATTTCACCTGGACTAGTAGTTGTTGGTTTCTCATTTTAGTTAAAGCCATAATTTTTTCTGATTTTTAGTTACTTTCTAAGAAAGGGGTAATGAGGAAAACATCCTGAAAGTGTTCCTGGAACCCTTCCAAGAGCCCTGGCATCCCTAAGCCACCCTCACCCTAACAAAGGAAGAACTGGTGTTTTTGTTGACAGACCGCTCACCTTGTCTTCATTGCTAACAACAGATTTTGGATTATTTTCCTTGCATAAACTTGAGAAGCTGGAGACTAGGGAAATGTGTCTTCCAAGATGCCAGCAGAATTGAATAAGTAGTGTTGGCTGACCCTATTCAGAGCATTCTTCCACCATCATCCCAGTCTGCTTCTCACCCCCACGCCATGACACTCTGCTCCACATGGGTTGGCATCTGTGTGTGTGCTGACCTGAACAAAGGCTTTTCAACTGTGAAAAGCCATTTGTCATCTGAAAACAGAGCTGATTGCAACTGAAAGAGGCTGAAAGAGGCTGACTTGGAGGAATGCCTTTGAGGGTGCAAACCAACCTGTAACTGAGGCAGAGGTGACACAGCTCTTGGCAGCTCTTGACACATCCCGGAAGGGGCTCTTAGTAACAATGCAGTGGCTTGTTACTATGTCCAAGTCATTCTGAGCAGGGAAGCATCCCGCAGTGTCGCATCCCATAGTGGGGAGCATCACCGAACCCCCTCTTTCAGCCTTACAGCTTTTCTCTGCTATCGAACATTGCTAGCAGTGAGCCCCACCCCACATCAGCTTGCCACAATGATTCCCTCTCCCAGCTCTTGTTTCCCCTTCTTCAGCAGCAGCCCACCTGGGACAGGATCTGTTATACCCCTGGGCACACTGCCAGAGCTTCAGGCAGAAGCCATGTGCACAAGCTGTAAGGTAGGGAAGGCCACAGTGGGAGAGCTGAGCGACAGGGCAGCCACAGACCGGTGGCTTTGAGCACTCCATGCACAGTGAGCACATTCAGCTTCCTGTCTGCAGAGTAGCCTTTCTAGGTAAGAGAAGTGTATCGATAAATACAGTGCTCTTTGTTAAATCTGAAGTGAAGAGAGCTGATGAATTTTTTTCTAAAGAAAACTAGTCTAACTGTAGAGGCCATAGCTATAGAAAGATTGTTGCATTTCTGAATCATCAGTTCAAACCACTGCTTCTGATTTAGTAACAGGTTTACAACAGTTCAAATCCCCACCCTCACGATTCATGTCGCTCCCAGTCATTTTTAAATTTGAAGGTTTCTAGACGTAGACTTTCTAAGTAACTGCAGTCTGTGTTGAGCCATCACTCTATTTGACGATCTAATGCATTTGGCCATAGAGAGCCAGGCCTGTACAGCCTTGTGGCAGTGTGCAGTCTACATGCTTGTGGGCGGCAGACCCTATCCCCGTGACATGCACACAAAGCGCCATATTGACAAGCGTGTTCTACTTCCATGTGACCTTCTGTAGCCTGCAGTCGCTTACTCAGGGGTTCCACAGTAATGGCATAAAGATCCACTAGCTGTCTAACAGGCTTTGAAGACTTTATCCGTGACAATGTCATAGATGTATAACACTAGTTGGGGGTCCTTCACTGCACACTGGCCCTCCCCTGTGAATGCTCCCAGTCCAACCCTGTCTAGACTATCCTGCAGATTGTGTGATTTTTTTTTATTTTTTTTATTTTTTTTTGCTACACAGCTGCATTCAGGGATTTTAGGGCATGATTAACCAGTCACGGGTGAGGCGTCTGGTGCAGGTAATGCCTGCATTGATCTCTCTTCCCCATTGTCTATATATAGCCTTTCCTGAAAAGAAAAAAAAAATGCCACTACTTTGCAATGCAAAGTTTTCAGAATTCTTGTCAATTGTGAATCCTTGCGTCACTTCTTCATGGTGAAAAGTGTTTCCAGCCAAGCTGTATGGGACATCTGCTTGTTTTAAATGTCTCATATATTTAAAGTGTGGTCAGTATCCTTTCCTTAAACATACCCCTGGGCAGAGTGGACCCCTCATTCCGTAGTGGGTTGTTCCATATCCCTAAGATGGATAGCCTCATTGCACAGGTGATCTCATCCACAGAGAACCCCGTGTGTGTGTGTCCATTCACGGGGTAGGTGGAGGCAATGGGGAGAGCTGTAATCTAGACAGCTGATGAGCCAGCTTTGTGGCATGGGTAATGTGTGGTTCCCGTGTGTCATAAGAATTTCACTAGAATGTCATTAAACAGCCCAACTACCTCATGTGAAATTGGCTGTGGACAATCTGTATTTGATGAGAAGTGTGTTCAGAGAAATGTATTCTGGTTAATAAGTTGAACAGTACGGTGTCTCTATGAAGAAGAAACATGTTATACCAGATGCCAAAGGCTAGACTATACATAGACTTTTCTTGGATTCCTTTCTATGTTACTGTTTAATTCCCAGTCTGTATCCTCATGAACGTTTGTAGTTTTGTAGAGCCACAGGCTTTGAGTATCTGTCACAGAATCCTACATCACCTCTTGTCCCTTGGTATTTTGAGTGTACGTCATAATGCTGGTAGGAAGCAAGTTAAACTACGAAAGCGTCAAACGGCTTGTGGCTTCTTAATTTAATGGACCTTTACTTAGAAATGTACTAGAGCCTCTTAGGACCAATTGTTGAGTGAAAATCTTGTGTGCAAATGTGTCTGCTTCTCTGTCCAAGTTGTTATTCTGTATTTCATGGGAAATGGGGCAGGAGAAAGGGGTTTAGTTCCTTTGGAGAATGTTTGAAAACATCTGTCAGATTTTTATATTCATTAGTTAAAATAAACATATTTTTAGAGTATTTATTAAGTGTTCTTCAAAGGTTTTTGTATGGGTTTTGCTTAATTTTATGTGCCAATAATATGCATTGTTTATGGAACACCTATGCCATGTCAGTCATCATTGTAAGTCCTTGATGAGTATTGACACATTTCCTCCTGCTAACTGTAAGGCAGGTGCTCTAGTTACCCTTGGGTTCCAGCCAGGAGAACAGAGGCACAGACTGGCAAGGCTTTTGCCTAATTCCCACAGCTGATGAGGACAAGAGACGGCCTTGAACCACTTCTCCCAGCTCCTGAATCTTCACAAAGCTCTAAGGGACCTCCAGCATCAGCCAATGCAGTAACATCTGTGTTGGGCTGGGCATTCTAGAAATCCAGCTTTTCAGAAGGGTTCTCTCCTTTGTTCAAAGATGGGAGCAGCAATGAGGTGACAGTCCAGAGCTAGAAAGTTCTTCCCATAGAGGCCTCCACTCCAGCGAAGCCAGATCCTTGTCTGCCTCGGAAAAGAATGTCAAAACAGACAGGCAAGACTAGTGTTTATCAAGCAGAGAGAAGAGACAGTGCACACATCAGATATAAGGGAGGGGTTCAGTGTTGATATTAGCTCTTTCGTTCATGTGAGTACAGTAGAAGACTTACCTTTGGCCTGTTCTGAGGGTGACACCACATGTCTGTGTATAACCAGGATCTTCCGCTGCCCTCATTCCAGAGGTGCCGAAAGGAGCATTTGGATCGGTGATGTTCACATTGGGAGCATTTGGGTTGGTGCTGTTCACATAGGCACCGGGTGACCGAGACTGCTTTGTGAAGCTATCTCCCTTAGAGAACAGAGCCGAGCTGCTAAGTCTTTGCTGACATGTATTGTAGGGCATTGTTTGGCATTAGAGACAGAATTGTTGAAATGGTTTTTAAGTTTTTAAATGTTCAAAGTCCTTCATAGATCTTAGACCTTAGATGCCGGGCCCTCAACCTCCTCCATCTCTGACCATTGGGCTTCATTGCCCACCCCTACATGTGCCCCAAGTTTCCTTGGTCACTGGGGAAAGTGAGATGATCCCTCCAACTGGCTTTTGATTTAGACCTATTCTTGCCTGTTCTCCTTGCAAACTTTTATGGTCCTAGAGAACAGACATCCCACTGACAATTGTAAAATTACACTTGAGGTGCAGTCTGTTCATCTGGGCTGTGGTCTGGTAGCTCCATCCCATCCCCATCCTTCCTTTACTGGAAACTCCAGACCAATCCTGGTTGCTTCTTAAACTTTTTCAACCAAGTAGTGTCACCATTACTCTGTTCTCTCAGGAAAGACATACCCTCAGCTCCTTTCTCCCTTCCTTTCCATACATACTTTGTCTTCAGGGTCTCCCTTGACCTCCACATTCCCTAAGCTGCAGCTTGATCAGTCCTCTGCCCTTTCACCCTGATTGACGTGTCCTTCCATGCCTGAAAATGGTCCCTTAGCTCCATGCCTCCTCATGAACTTGGAAAGCCACACCCCTTTTTTTTATTCCAGGAAGATGCTTCTAAACCTCTCAGACAAAAATCCTAGCCATCAGTTCCCTCCCAGTGCTCCTGCATGTCTAAGTGTTACCACATCAAGTAGGACCTGGGGGCAGGCAGGAGGCATGACCCCGGGGTGGCTGGGTTAAATCTTTGATGTCGTGCTCAGTTACTGGTGTGAGCGGCCTCTGCCTCTGAGGTTGCCGCACCCTGCCCCTGATGGCGCTCTCTCTGGCTTTGCAAGGATTTTGAAACTGGTTACAAGCTAGATGTCACCTCAAATGGTGCTTCCTGGTTCTTTCAGATGAATTATTTCTGTTACCCAGCTAGATGAAAATAGATGTGAGCCGGTGCCACACACATCCGGCTCCCCTCTGCTGCCCTGGTTACTTAAGTGGTACTTTGAGAGACTGGCTGCTGTGGGTGGGAGGGGAGGAGGGGCAAGAGGGGAGAGGGGCCAACTTTGTGCCTCTCTGTATGGGTGTGTATCTGCCTATCTGTGTGTTTCTGCGAATATCTCCGAGTGTGCTGTCTCTGTATGTGTGTCTCTGTCTGTATGTCTTTGTATGATGTTACATGGACTTTGTTACTATTCCTAAAACATTTGTGTCAGTGGTATTTTTTGTGTGTCAAATTATGAATCAGTAGGATTGGAGCCAGTTCTGGGTTCTCAGATATACACATATAGACTGGGTGGAAGAATTCCACAAACAAGCATTTCTTAAAACCCTGTCGCTGGGCCACTCCACAGGCATCAGCCTCAGGAATGTGGCCTCTTCCTCATTCCCTTAAACTCTCCCCAGTGGTTCTGACATACAGCCCTGATTGAAATCTTTTACTCCCCACCTCCCTCCACACAGGGTTTCTCTGTATAACCTCAGCTGTCCTGGACTTGCTTTGTAGACCAGGCTGACCTTGAACTCATAGTGATCCCCTGCCTCTGCCTTCCAGAGTCCTGGGGATTACAGGCGTGTGCTACCATGCCCAGCTGTGGAGTCCTTTAAAGCTGTCTGTGAGGCCTTTCAGGGTGAGTCTGGACTATAGAACTTCCTCCTTAGGATCTAACAAAATGACAATCAAAATAAACACATTCTAAAAATGTATTTTAAAACTTCAAATTTAATTTAAGATAAATTTTAATTTTAAAATGCATTTAAAAAACTTTAAAAGTTCCCAGCGATCAAGCAGTGGGAAGAACCAAGATTTTTCCTTCATGCCTTGAACTCCAGAGGTGGCCAAAGAAAACGACTAGATTTCCTGTCAGGAAAGAATAGCGCCTAACCCGCTGCTGCTGAGGGAAATTTGTAGTCTCGTTAAAATCTCACTTAGAAGGGAGCTGCTTAGTGCTGTGGACTGAAGTTCCCTGAGAAAGCCTGACTCAAGAATTATACCAACTGGTTAGGACTTCTATGACCTTGAAGAGTTGGAATGTTGCAGATGAAGAGCCAAAATTATCTTGTTCTGCCCTTAGTCTCCTTGCTAATTCTTACACACCTGTGTGTCTGACCAGACATGTTTCCATCAGGAAAAACCTCTGGAATATATGGAGTCCTAAGCAGACCACTAATTTCCACCAATCTCCCCAAAACTAAAATGTCATCTACAGCATCGAAGCACAAAACATGTCTCTCACTTACTGGAAGCCCCCTACCTGCTGTCCCCACTAATATATTTGGCAAATACTTGACGTGTCTGTTGTTACAAATTCAGGTAACTACTTCCACAGTGGACTATTTCATTCAGGGAAGCCTGAATCCGTGTTCCCAAGCCATGGTCACTCAGATTTGACTCGTATGACACTTGGTCTTATTCCCTTTGGAGCAAGAGCGGTGGTTTGAGTTGATAAATTCTTTCGGTGCATCGGCATCCTTTTGTCTTCCTCTGAGAAGAGTGATTATGGGGCACAGTTGGGGTGGGAATGCTGTTGTAGAAGTGAGGCAAAGATAAGAAAATAGCCCATCGCTCTGCTGAGAGGAATCGCCACAAGGTGTGTGATCGGCATGTCTACTCTTAAGGCATTGCTTTTCCTGGGGAGATGTGAGCAGATGTCTCTTCACCAGGTAGATCAACAACAGGCCAAAGAAAGGATCTTATATAACTCCGGTGTGGTAAATCCATGAGTTTCTGGGGCTTCTTTACAGGAACATGAGTGAGGGTTCCTTATAGGAGCGTAGACCATGGGGAAGGAGTTAGGTAAGGGAGCGTGGGTGTTCCCGAACAACAGAACCACTGAAAAGTTCTGTGTGGTGGTTTGAATGAGAATGGCCCCTGGAGGCTCGTGTTTGAAAGCGTGGTCCCTAGTTGGTGGAACTATTTAGGAAGCCTTGTTAGAGGAGGGGTGGAAGTGGAGGTGGGCACTGAGGCTTCAAAAGTCCATGCCAGGCCCATCTCTCTCTCTCTCTCTGCCTGCCTGTGGTTCAAAATGCAAAGTTCTTGGCTATTGCTCCAGCACCATGCCTGTCTGTCTGCTTCCTGCCATCATGATCATGGACGAGTCCTCTCAAACTATAAGCAAGCCCGCATTTAAATGCTTTCTTTTATAAGGGATGCCTTGGCCATGGTGTCTCTTCACAACAATAGAGCAGTAGCTAAGACATGTGACTCTTTCATTACAGTGACAGAGAGCTAATTAGCACACCTGTATGCACTCCTCCATCCTTGTACAGACAGAAAACACTGCCGGGAAGGGCTTATATTTGGCTGGTACCACAGTATATGATTGTGTTGCTCATTATGGCATCAAAATATCTTAAGGTAAATAAACTGAGCATCTCATCCTGTCAAGCTATCCAAGCCCCTCTCACAGGAAGCTCCCCACCAAAGGTCACCCATACACACCAGCACCTACAGGCATGACGTCAGACCTCGCAGGGATCCTCTGGTCCTGCAAGAGCTATGGCCAGCATCTCTTCTGCTTGGTCAATATCTGTATTATACTAGTTACTGAATATTTTTAGTGTTAATCTGTGCAGGAAAAGACATAGAGCAAGGGTTCACAAGGGAAGAGAAATGGTCACCAAGTAAGATGTGAAATGTATCGAGGCAAGTGCACCAACATTATACAAGACCAATGAGCAGTCTGAACGGAGCGGCGCACCACAGATGTGAGCAGTCCTAAATAAAATGATACGGCAACTATCTGAGTGGGCTGTGGTCAGAAGAGGGGACTTGTGGGGAACAAGTGGAACCAATTTAGAAAAGTTCACACAAGAGACAGGAGTCCCTGCAGCTAAACCCTGCTCTCGAGTAACTTAGAACATAAATGCCTAAAACATGCATTCAGACATGACCAGATGGAACAACAGGAGGGAAAAAGATGCTGCAGAAATAAACAGTGTGACCAGAGAGTCTCACAGAAAGAAAGAAATGACTAGGAAGACCCAGATGTGGTAGCCCAACTGTGATTCCAGTATCTCAGAGGTGCAAGAGGTGACCTCCTGAAACTGAGGCCAGTAAGAGGCTGTACTGGCTAGTTTTGTTTTGTTTTGTTTTGGTTTGGTTTGGTTTGGTTTGGTTTGGTTTGG